CTTCCCAGTCCTGAACGGTGAATACGTGGATGTGCCTGATGCCGGTGTGTTCCGAGGGAGCGCGTTTTTATTTGATACAACGAATTTTGTTCGTTTGTAATTGTATTAATTTGTGATGATGTCCCCTTTGTGTTCGCGTTCCCTATGTAATATTATTTATATTTATATGATTGATTGTGTGTGCATGGAGCTGCTGGTCAGGTGTCCACCCTTTCTGCCCGTTTGCTCTCCTGTGTGCTGGGCTGCCGCTGCTCTACCAACAATCATCACACATCCAGAAACTAGCCAAGTTCTGTTCATCGATAAATTGAGCCAGTGCTAATTATATACTGATGATTATTGAATTGATTCTCATTGCATGCATATACAATGATGAGAACTGTGAAGCCAACATGCTGAAAAAGTGGCCATGGGAAGCTAGAACCAACTTAGCCCACGATCCCCCTCCCCCCATTCCCTTATCTCTGTACAAGTCATAAAACATCACTTGGCCTATTTGAAGATGGAAAGAAAAAAGAATTTTTTTGAGATTGCCATGACAACGCCACCTATCGACACCTGCTACATCTCTGCCCCCACATGTCATTAGCTTCAACCAACACATACGCCAATTTCTCCATCCTTTTTTATGTCTATCATTCAGAAAGAGGAGCCGTGTTTAGGATTTCAATGGTTTTGAGAGGTGAAGGAGGAAGTATAGGGGACGGAACGGGGAGGGAGGATCGAGGTAGGTGGTTGCGGGCGGTGAAAGGAAGCGGAGAAGTTTGGTGAGACGTTCGATCCGTTATGCGGTACTGGGATTTCTCTCTTTTTTTAAAAGGACACTAACTCGAAAAGTGACATCTCTCGTCAACAGAAGTGACCGCAAAGCTGCCAGTGGTTCTGATTATCTTGGTGCTCGAGGCAACCAAGATGTTTTTTGATGACTTTTGTTGGTTTAGACTAATATAGCAAATTCGGGTCCACCGCAGAGCAACTCAGTCAGGATTACTCGTGACCAATAAATTTTACCGTTCCATAACAAAAACGTGTTCATCTTTAGCCTTTGTGTCTGGATTGCGAGCGATCGGAATTGTTTTTTGAGTTTGACGTCCCAAACAAGTAGGTAATGGTCATGTGGTTTGGATATTCTGGTGGGATTAACGGTAGGCTGATTTGAATCCTGTCCAGGTTGGAACAAAAGCTTGCCTCCACCATTCTTCCTCTTCTTGAGGAACAAAGGCGCTGTCACACCGTTATCCTCGATTTATCTGCGATGAGTAAAGCGGTGTTGCTTTCTCCGCGTTCAGCATGTCAATTATTAAGCGGTCACCAGCTTGATTCCATGATGTGGGACGTTAAACGAACCAGGTCGGTCTTGAGCCCAGATGGACGATAAATATTCAGAAAGAATTACAACTACTGTTTTCCAGCTCGTTATGCGTTTCTGCATATATGCAAATGTAAAAACGCATATTGTAAAGACCTCGGTGTGCGTACGTATTTGTGTATGTATGTGCGTACGTGTGCGTGTTGGTGTTTATATCCGTCCGGGTATTTCAGCTTGACAACCAAGCAATCTTCGGCGCTGAAGTTTTGCCAGTGAGTTCCCAGCCAAGTGCCACTCCAAGATCAAGGTGAACGTGGAAGTTTTGGTGGGGAAATCGCTAATTCGGGAAGCAGAAAAGCTGGAGTGCTGAAATTTTAAGAGTGTGTTCCCAGGCCACGCACAACTTTGTGTGTGGTTTCATGTACGTTCCCGTGAAAATTTTGGAGGGTAATTTGCTAACTCTGAACCAGGAAGTCTAGAAAGCTGAAATTTTGAAATGTTCTCTGTCCAAGTACCACGTTATTGCACAATTAGTTTCGTGAACTTTGAGGACCAGTATGTCACAGATTCTAGCTAGTGGGATCCCAAGCGATCTTACTAAAACACGAAATACTGCAGAAACACATGATCGCACGGACCCGCCTGGTGAAATACTGCTGAAACGCAAAAACTGCATAAAGAGGATGCTTCGGTCCATCAGGTCTTAGATATCCCTATTCAGCACCATAACTGGATCCCGTTAGTATGAAGTCTAGAACTTATAGTAGATATAAAGAAGTAGCTGAGATTAAGACATTTTGGTGCATTAAGCTGCATGCATCTTAACGGAGCACCACAACTGGACCTCGTCAGTACAAAGTTGTGTAACTGAAATTTGAGGCTAAATGCGAAAAGACAGGACATATGGATTTCGCCGTACTACAAATTTATGTGCAACGGCATTGTCTGAATGCGCTTCTGTTCGAATTCTGACTTGATTACAGACTGCTAAAACACATGGGTTTTGATTTGGCTGGTATTGGATTTTTTATAACGTGTATGTGAACAGTTCGAGGGCGATGATATGGTGGCGGAGCGGCGTCGCCGAAACGGCTGGAACTGGCCACCGTCATTCTTGCA